GAAAATTAAACACTCCATTTCTTGTGAACCCGGCCACATCAGTAAAAAGAATGTTTGCAAGAAAACGAGGGTCTTCAGCATCATGACGTAGAAACCAGCGGCAAAAAACCAAACGTGCTTGATGATCATTTATTGGATTTAAGGCCTGTACTCGTTGCACATGGTATGGATAAAGCAGTTGCTCGTGAAGGATTCTCCAAACAAGAGGACCACTAATTCCTACCTCGGCTGATATTCTCCGCACACTCGTACCTGGATTCTGCTCTACCAGTGCTAGAATTTCTTCTTCTGCTCTAGGAGTGGATACCGACCTTGGTCTTCCGTATAAATGGCACTGTTTGCTCAAGGAACCGGTATCACGCAATCTTTGGTGAATTCTTCCAAACATGCGTTGTGAAGGAATCTGGCGATTTGGATAAGCGTCAACATAAAGACGTCGCGCTTCGGTGGCGTTCCCATTAGCACGACCATACATGAAATGCATGTCTGTTAATTCTGCGTTAGAGTAACCAGCCATAGCGAAAGAAAACTTGTGCACTGAGAACAACTGTCAAATACGTACTGTTTATTTCACTAAACATCAACCAACTATTATAAGAAAATACACAACGTTTTTGCAAAATAAAAAAGGGGCTGAAAAACATAAAACATTCCATATCTACGCAACCGTTACTTTGCGGACCCAAGTTTATTGAGCCTTTTCTGCTTATTTTGGTTCATACTATTACCTCCTTAAATATTTTACACTCTTTTTAACACCCTGTATAGCGGCACATGAGATCATTGGTAAGATATAAATAATCTGTTAGCCGCCCTTTGGTGCAAAGGTTATTTGATTAATTTTTAATTCTTTTTAGAAGTGGTAAATTACACTAATAACTAAAATCTAATATAAGAAACAAATAAATAATTTAATACAAGTTGTAAATTTTACGTTACCTTAAAGTGAAATTAATTGTTTTTCCCACTTTGAACGGAGATTAATGTGAAATTCAGCCACGATCCACGAATCAATCTATTGCTGCATTTTAAGGATTTATTTGAATTAACCCGATGCCATTAAAGTACCTTAAAAGTGCAGGAGCTAATAATAAAGAATGTTTAATTTAAGAAATAGTCGGAATTTTTTTTTGGAAAATAAGTTTCAATTAATGGATTTAAAGCTGTAAATTGCAAATAAAATGTTTGGTTTATTTTACTGCTTCTATTTAATAGGGTATTTCTGGTACACAGCGAAGGGGTTGATTTTGTAGATTTAGTTTTGTTTAAGCAGAAATTAAAAACAACTAAAATTGACAAATGCTACTATTTTTTTATACATAACATTTTTTTTTTAATTAATTTCCTCAGTATGAGATATTTCTGGCTAGGCACAATTAAAAACAATGAATAAATACGGACTAGTTTTGTTAAAATACTGGCCTGATGATGAAGCAGAAAAAATCTATTTTTGAAATTAAAAAATTAACTTTTTGAATCAAGCCTATGGTAACGAAATTTGCTGGGCATAGCTTAGCAAAACGCTTCGTAATTTTCTAATATAGATGAATTTGTAAGGAAAGAAAAGGAGCCAACAAAATTATAAACGTAGATTCCTATACTACGTAGAAATATTAAAAATCATAAGAAATACGTAATTAAATCAGTATTAAAATTTATTGAAAAAATTATTCATAACAAAATAACTCACATGTACATGTCGTTGTATTGAAATTGAAACAGGTATTGTTTATTGCATATTTTGCCACTTGTGAAATTTATAAATAAAATATATCTTTGTTTTTTCGTATTATAGACTTCTTTGTTATTATACAGGGTGTCTCATAATTAGCTGCCAACTCTGAACAGGCCGATTCTATGATCAAAACTAAGTAAAAAAGTTCATATGAACATGGATCCGGAAATGCTTCCTAAGGGCACAGGGACCCATTGAAGAGGGAGGAATGGAAATCATTTTTTTGCAATATCTCTCAATCGAGTTGTGATAAATGAATGAAATTTGGTATACACAGCTAAATTTTGATGAGCAATTTGATGGACTAATCCATTTATTTCCACAAGGTCCATTGGGGTGGGTACGGGGGGGCCCTTGGTACTTTGCGTGTGTAACTTTTTCATCTTTGACTTTTTAACAAATTGGACAGCAAATTCCGTTTTCCCGAACTGTTTTACGTTAAAAAGGTACTCTTGTTTCAAATCGTTATCTTTAACGGTTTCTGAGAAAATCGCTCTTGAATTAATCCCACTTTGGTCAATTTCATAGTAATTTAAACAAAAAATAATAACAATAATTTTCCTTTCCTCTCTTTTCCATTTAAAGGATTAATTTTTATTTAATTTAATTTTTTATTATTATTTTTTTATTAAAATTAGATTAAATTTAAACAAAAAAAATAAATTTTTTTGTTTGATTTACTATGAAATTTTAATTTTTAATAATTAATTTTAATTTTTTTAATTTTCGCTGGTGGTAACATACCAAATAAATAGAGAAAGAACAATACTGTGCTAGGAAAAATTAAGTTCAGACAATATACAGGGTCGGAAAGTTCCCATGGTTCATCGGCCGTTACGTGAGAGCGATAAAGTAAGTCGTAGAAATCCATGCGATAGAGAAAGATGGCTATAATGAAGGCGTCTAATAGTCACCGCCCATTCCGCCCTTCCACAAACAAGAAGTGGATCTTATTTGTGGAAGGGCGAAATGGGCGGTGACTATTAGACGCCTTTACTATAGCCATCTTTCTCTATCGCACGGATTTCTGTGACATTCTTTATCGCTCTCGCGTAACGGCCGATGAACCATGGGGACTTTCCGACCCTGTATTGTGTTTTGTACTTCTCTTTAGAAAATATTTTTTAATTTAATTGATTTTAAAATTTTTTTTCACAAGCAGCAAAATAAAAAATTTGGAAAATATGTATTAAAAATTGTTTTATGAAAATAACCTTTGACTGTTGGTGTAAGGGTTTGTTTTTTTAATTTTTTTCACAAGGGGTAAAATATGGAATAAATAAAAAAGTTGAAATTATATCGCGAATAAATCATTTCAGACAAAATATTCTTTGTACTCGACTTTAGAAAAGGGGTATTAAAAATAGTTTATCAAAAATAAAAACAAATAAAAATTTTTCACGGGTGGCAAAATACCCAATAAAGAGAGGTAAAACTTACGCCACGAATAAATAACACCAGAAAATATATTATGATTTTTTATCCCACATGAAAAATGGGTATTAAGAATATGTAGTTTTACAAAAACAACCCTTGACTTTTGGCGGTAGAATTTGTTTAATAATTTTTTTTTACAGGCGGCAAAATAAAAAAGTGAAAAAACTTGTGTGGAAAAAATCTATTTATTTTGATTTCCCACTTTGGAAAATATGTATTAAAAATCGTTTTACGAAAATAACATTTGACTTTGTTTTTAAATTTTTTCATAAGTGGCAAAATAAGCAATAGATAAAGAAGCTGAAACTATATCGCTAATAAATTATTTCAGACAAAATATTCTTTGTACTCCACTGGAAAATTGGTATTAAAAATAGTTTATTAAATAAAAATAAATAAAAATTTTTCACAGACGAAAAAAGAGGTAAAACTATGCCACGAATAAATAATCGGAAAATATATTATGATTTTGTACCTCACTTGAAAAATGGGTATTAAAAATAATTTTACAAAAATAACCCTTCACTTTTGGCGCTAGGTTTTGTTTAATAATTGATTTTTTAATTACTTTTATCAGACGGCGAAATAAAAAAGTGAAAAAACTGCCAGGAAAAAATTAATTTTTTATCCCACTTTGGAAAATGTATATTAAAAATTGTTCTACAAAAATAACCTTTAATAATAATTTCAGACAAAATATTCTTTGTTCTCCACTTTGGAAAACGGGTATTAAAAATAGTTTAACAAAAATAAAAATAAATAAATTTTCACTGGAAGTAAAATATCCAACAAAAAGAGGTAAAATTGTGCCACGAATAAATAGCATCAGAAAATTTATTATGATTTTGAAAAATAGGTATTAAAAATAGTTTTACAAAAATAACCGTTGACTTTTGGCTGTAGAATTTGTTTAATAATTGAATTTTAATTTTTTGTTACAGATGGCAAAATAAAAGGTGAAAAAACTGTCAAGAAAAAATAAATTTAATGTGACTTTTTACCCCACTGAAAAATATGTATTAAAAATTGTTTTACAAAAATAATATTTGACTGTGGCAAAATATGTAACAAATAAAGAAGCTGAAACTATATCGCGAAATTTTTTCAGACAATATATTCTTTGTACCTCAGTTTGGAAAACGGGTATTGAAAATGGTTTAACAAAAATAAAAATAAATAAAAATTAAAAAACAACAGAAAATATATTATGGTTTTGAAAAATAAATATTAATAATACAGCGTAAGGGTTTGTTTAATTATTTTTTAAAATTTTTCGCAGTTGGTAAAATATCGAATAAACATAGAAAAAACTAAATCTATACCACAAATAAATATTTTGTGACTTTGTACCACGCTTTGGAAATTTCTTTCACAGTTGGCGAAATAAACAGAAAAAATTAAACATACGCCACAAATAGACAATATTTCAGACAATATGTTGTGACTTTGCACCGCTTCGGAAATGGGTATTATGCAACCGATGGACAGTTTACAGGCTTCAGCGTGTAGCCTGAAAGAGCGTTTCGGGTTCGGGGGGCTTGTTGCACAGCAATATCCGCAGCGTGTCTCAAGAAACCTGTCGCGCCGCAGATGCGCTGGCTTGCATTTTAACTAAATAATTAATGTATAATAATAACCGTTATTTTTTAACATCAAACATATTCACTAGAGGGCACCTCACGGGAATCAACGCATTACTATAATGATTAGCCCCTTTGACCGGGACAAAGAGTTTTGGAAGTTCTCGCCTCGGTGGCCATTTTCGAAAATATGCGAAAATTTATGGCCACATGTTGAATATGCTAACGGGGATGGGAAGTCCACGTACCTGCTTTGTTGGCCGGAGCCGCGTGGTTGATGGTCAACTTCCCGGCAACTTCCAGCTTGCTGGGCACCGGCAGAAGGCCGGGAGTGGACATGGTGGCGGCGGTCATCGCCGGGGCCGGCATCATCAGCGTCGACATGGTCAACATCTTCGCGGTGTTCTCGCGTACCGTTGCCGCTTCCAATAAAAACCTTGTGCGTCGCGGCAGGCGATTCACATGAATGGGAGCGGTGGGAAGTCCGCGAAGGCGACGTGAAAAAGTTCGGTGAAGTTTGCGCGTCTTTTCCGCGTGTGGATCGGGGCTGTCGGCGGCGGCGGCGGTGGCGGCGGCGAGGCACACTAGTCGCGCTACCCGCTGCTCGAAGACTGCAGAAGGCGCGCTTGTTTCATGCCGTCGTACTGTCGGGGGTGGCGGACGCGAGGGCGGAACGTTACAGTGGCCCGTACTATTGCAAACGGCGGGCGACTCCAACTGCGGCAAAGGCACGGCTTCGGCGCTCTTGTGCGAGCCACTTGTCTGCCCCAGCTCAATGGCGTGCGCGTCACCCTTGTGGCGTTAACTGTTACGCGAAGGGTTGTTACTGTGCCATGGTACTGTGGTGTCCGGGCCCTTCCACACCATGAATATCGTTTACCGACGGGGGCCGGTGCATCGATAACCCAACAGGGGCACGCAGCCGAACGACGGCCGGCACAGCCACCGGCCCTCCCTCCACGACCACCTCTTTGTCGCAGTGCTCCCAGTGCATACGACGGGGGGGATCGGCAAACCATCAAAACACTACCGCTTCCCAAAGCACTGCCTCTGGTACTGCAAATTGGGGGGGGGGGAATCTTTCTTGAGACTAGCAGCTTTAGATTTTTTTAATATACCAAATACGGGCTATTGAAAATTTTAAGTTGATTGATTAAACTTAAAATTTATGGATTTTTCACAAAAACGCTACGAAGGACGAAATGGGAACAGCATAGTTTCACGAGCGTCACTGGAAATAGTACAGGTTTTATTAGAGAAACTTTATCAGGTGGCGGAACACGTGATTTTAAGCAAAAACTTTCACGGAGAATGTTTCGTTTTCAAGATGTTGGAAATTTAAAAAATATATCAGATTTTCTCAAATATCTCTGAAGACCTTTGACGCAGACTGATAAAATTTTAGCATATGATTTATTCGCTGAATCAGCTTACAATACGGATATGCAAAATAAATATTTTATTAGTTGATTAAATATAGGAGTAATTTCTCAAAATGAATTGATTTAGAAACACTGTAATAAAGACGACTTTAATTCAATTTTAATTGGTGAAGCCAACAGTTTTATCGATATCCCCACAAAAGCAGCAAAAATAATAAAATGGGAACAAAATTATTTTCACGAACGACACTGGAAATAATCTGTTTTTTACTTCATTAATACAGGGCGTTCAGGTTTGAATCGGGAAACTTTACCAGGTGATGGAACAACGATTTCAAGAAAAACTTTCATATAACATGGGTCGTATTCGTGTGTATGAAAATTAAATAAAACGTCACATTTTCACATTTTTTCAAATATCGCTGAAGGCGTTTCACATAGACTGATAAAACTTGGGCTAATTAGGGGTAGTTTACAAATACGTGGGATATATTACATAAAAAAAAGTTATTGATTAATAGACCAGGACGGATCTGTTTTGAGGTGGATGTGAGAGGGGGTAAGCAAATTTTTTTTGAATTACTTTCAGTACAACTCGCATAATAAAAGTGTAGATCTCTAGATCTGGGCGAGGTCAGGAACATTTTCAAAATGACAAAAATGTTTAAAACATGTACATTTTTTACTTATATCTTGGAACCTATGCATTTTGGAAGAATAAAGAGGAAAACAAGTTTTAGAATTGAATTTTGCACAATATTCTGTAAGTTAAAAATGTTTAAATTTATTACCGATGTTGCAAAGTAGCAATAAATTGATGAAAAAAAGGCAAAATAATCAAGCTTTTTGCATAATTTTTTTAAATATTTTAATTGCTTCGAGGGCATTCTAATTTTGGTAAAAAACTTTAGAATATAATAAAACAACACACCAAATTTCATTAAAATCGGTTCAACAGTTTTCGTGAAATAATTTTTTGAAAATATTTTGAAAAAAAAATTCGAATTTTCAAAATGTTGCACAGCCTCAAATAAAGTATCTAGATACTGGAAAAATTTTTACATAGCGCTCAACTTTTCAAACGGTTTTTAAAAAATTGAAATCGGTTGATTAGGACGACCACAGTAAATTTTTAAAGGTAACACTTTTTTTTTATTTTTAAACAGTTATATTACATTTATCAATTTACAATTTAGTTTTTTTCAAAAATTATAATTTTACTCGGAAAGATTAAATTCCGTTTATTGGTTCTCGAGATATAAGCGGTCAAAGTTTATCGGCATTTACCGTTAATTTATAAACAATTTAGCAATAATCTTTGATCCAGTGGCTCCGTGTTTCCGAGTTCTAAGCTGGAAAAAATTTTCATATCCATATGTTATCGCCAACATAGATAAATGAGCGGAAATGCAACATTTTGAAAATTCGAAAATTTTTTTTCGAAATTTTTTTCAAAAAATTATTTTGCGAAAACTGTCTAACCGATTTTAATGAAATTTGGTGTGTTGTTTTATTATACTCTAAAGTTTTTTTTACCAAAATTAGAATACCCTCGGAGCAATTAAAATATTAAAAAAAGTGATTCAGAAAACTTGATTAATTTACCTTTTTTCCATCAATTATTGCTATTTTGCAACACCGGTAATAAATTTAAACATTTTTAACTTAACGTGTAAAATTCAAATTTAAAACTTTTTTTCCTCTTCAATATTCTTCCAAAATGCATAGGTTCTAAGATATAAGTAAAAAAACTAATTTTTTTAAATTTTTTAAACATTTTTGCAATTTTTAAAATGTTCCGGACCTAGCCCAGATCTAGGGATCTACACTTTTATTATGTGAGTTGTATTCCAGCAAAAATTAGCTTGCCCCCTCTTACATCCAAGAAGTGGGTTATTTCGACAGATCCGACCTGGTTTATAAATGTAAAAGTAATTTCTCAAAACGAGCCGATTTAAAAATATTATAATAAAGACAACTTTAATTTAATTTTTAAAAATTTCATCGGTCTCAGAAAAGCACTGCAGATAAAAAAAAATGGGAACAGAATTGTTGTAGACGAACGCTACTGGAAATAGTGTATTTTTTTATTTCGTTAATACAGGGCGTTCAGGTTTTAGTCGGGAACTAAGTGATAGAACACGTGATTTTAAACAAAAACTTTCATATAAGCATTGTCGTAGAACGTTTCGTTTTCGAGATATAGTGTTGAATTTTAAAAAATTGGTATCACATTTTTCAAGAATCTCTGAATAAGTATCTAATTGGAGGTAAATATTAGTTAAATTACAAATTTATACTTTTTTTTTTACAGTAAATAAAGTGAAGTTTGATAAAACCATTTCCTCGACATTTCTAATTTTGTTGTTTCCGTACACCTTGAATGATTTTATAAAAAAAATTATTGACGTAAATAACAGTCAAAAGTACATGGTACTTTGAAATGAAATATTTTGTACCTCTTCTTCCACATAAAATATGAATTGAAAATATGTCGAACTACGTATTGAATATTACCTATCACTGCATCGAAAGACAGTAATTTGCTAAATTATAACGATTCTTTAGTAATTAGAGCCAAACACAAAAGAGCGAATTATTTGCATTGATGCTATTAGCAAAATGAAAGGCAAAAATTCCCCGCAAAACATGATATCTACATACCGTTCTGATTATCCCCTTGTAAGGTCGTGATATTTTTTCTCTTACGTGCTATCAGTTTATTGATTAAATAAACTATTTTATTGATCTCCGGGGTAGTGGCGGCAAGTAAGGATTTTTGCGGGAAATGAATGATTACAGCGTACGACCTATTTCACGAGTTAGATGGGGCGGTATTGAATACCGATTCAATTCTTGTTCACCCCAGATACGTACCATTGAATCCACAAACTCAAAGGTTAAAATCTTGCGAAAGCCGGATTTTAATAGAATCCTTAGATGCTGCATTTTCACTAAACTTTTATTATCGACAAGGAAATCATTTCGTATAAGGAACTTCAATCTTAAATAACACAAACGTAAACACTGACATATCAGTAACTGGAAAATATTTTCCATATTTGTTTTTGGTGTACTTTAGAATTTTAGCTATTTTATTTGAGTACTTTTCCACCCGGGAAAAAAATTATTAAAAAGTTAATGAAGAGCAATCAAATTGTAGCAGAACATTCCGCTGAACGTGCGTTAATAAAAACAAATTTTTAATATAGAAATATCTACCCTAAATTTGTGAAGCAGTGATGTATCCGTAAAGTGAAATAATTGAATCCCGTGTAGATTCAAAAATGTAACATCCCGCCACGCTTAAATCCCGAATTTGCTCTCTTCGCTCTCTGTATTCCTGCAGCTGATCCCGAGACGGGATATACTGCACCAAATCAATTAATACGCTTGATATTCCATAAAGTCCTTAAGCAATGTAACAGGTGGCACCTTTGGCAGTCACTTTTATAATTAAGCGGGTCCTCCAAATCCTGGCAGTGCTGCCAGGACTCGATGCACCTTTACCTCGTCATATCGTCTGCGAGAATTTTAAATTTTCGAAAGCAGTTTAATAAATACTAACGTTTATGAAATTATAATGAATGTAATTTTGTTGATATACAGGGTGGTCCGAATTTTATGCAGGAAACTTCGAGGGCAGATAGATCTTTTTAAAATAGTAGGTGTTTGCCTTATAAACATAGGTCTGGAACGGCCTCGTTTTAGAGATACAGGGTGTTGAAGTTGTTAAAAAAATGTATATTTTTTGTTTATATCTCCGGAATCCATCGACCGATTTCAATAAAATTTAGTACAGATAATGTATGATAGTAGGCCTTATATTCTCTAAATTATGAGCTCTAAAGATTCAACCAGTGGTGTACAACAGGACAGGGTCACCCCCTTTTTTATAAAAAAAACCTACGCCGCTGTATTTTTTACAAGCTATTGTAACGAATTTATATTCTAATGCACAAAATACGTAAAAAAGGTAACTTGAATTTTTTTCCTAAAGTTCACCGTTCTCAAGTTATTCATATCAATACAATCCCCTTGTGGCAGACACTTCTAACCATAATATTACAAAAATATTTATGTTTATGCTTAAAAGTAAGTGCAATTTGTAAGCACATCAACAAAATTCTTTACACGCATCGCTTTCATCTTTTTGGATTAAAACAATATTTGGAAAATTACGACAAAGGAATGAATGGCACAGAAATGAAATTTTGAAAGCATTTGACGACGATCCTCGGCTAAGTAGGTTCACGAAGAACCTCTCGGCAACTTGGGGTGAGTAAATCGAAAATTTGAAAAGTTCTAGTAAGGATGGCAGAAATCCGTACCATTTACAACCTGTGCAAAATTTACTTCCGGGAGATGCAGAGACGCCTGAATTTTTATCAGTGGTTGTACTTTGGACCGATGAGGCTACGTTCACAAGGGGAGGGGTAGTTAATCTGAATATTTGATCACAAGAAAATCCTCATGAAATTCGGAGTCATTTCTAAACCATCTGTTCTAGAAAACCATCTGTTTGAATTATTAGAGGATGTTCCATTAAATATACGACAAAATAGTCCAATTAACTAAGCCTTTAAATCGAAATTTTGCCAACTTGGCTGAA